AAGTTTGCCAGTATATTGCATCTCACCCCTAGAATAGAGCAGTCTGAGGGCAAAACGCAATTATTGATGACGAATAAGCCTCAGAGAGGTGGATATCGAGAAGACTCCATGATGTCTAGTAACGCATATAGACCTAGTGAGTGTAACAGGTTTCGTAGTACATCCTCAACAGATAAGTTACAAGATGCAAGACAAACACGGTTGTGTTTTACACGTTTGCAAGAGGTGCATACAAAGGTGAACTGTGAACCAGTGAGCAAGTTCAGTGATAAGCTAAATGTAAACTCCAGGCCTGACTCTGAATTGTGTGACGATAACGGTGCGGTCAAGAAGTCTGTAATTGCAACTGGTAAGCCATTGTTGAATACAGTGTCAGAGAATAGAGTTATTGCTTCAGAGTGCAGTTCTGACCCTACAAGTTTACAAGGTATTACTAGTCACAGTGAAGTTATAAAACCTTTTAGGATTCGCAAGGAGGAACCAAAATTGTCTACTTCTGTTATTAAAGAGTTTGAAAATGATGAAGTTGACGGTAAAGTGAATATTCGTGATAATGATCATGATACTTCACATTTGTCTTTGGTTGTTCATGATGAGATAAGGGATATGCCTACTACTGCTAAGTTGAACAAAGTTTCTGTACAACTTGAACGTGAAGTAGAAATAAATGCAGGTGCAGTTGCAGAAGGCATGCGTACTTGTGAAACCGTCAGTGTAAGTGATCAGCATGTAGCCCACCTATCATCAGATGCTAGTGCTAAACCCGAGCTGATAGTAAAAGACAGCAGTGGTGGTGGTCTTAGAGGTAGCCGACTTTCTGAAAGTCGAGCAACAACAGCTTTTGATCCACCGCTAACTTCATCAACTGATATCAATCAGTCGTCGTTGGTGTTGTCATCCACAATGAAAAAGACGCCCATCAACTCAAGTATCTTGTGCAATGACTATGCTAGTATCAGTTCGTTTGAAAGGACGAAAGATATTGCTCAGTTTAGAGAGGATAAGCCAAGTGTAAACGAAAGAGTAATTGTTAAATTGACTTGCATGAATAAAGGCATTTCTTGTTTCAAGTTACTATTTGAATGCTATTACCTTTGGTGTAAATTACTCTGTGCCTACGCTTGGTTGACTAGATACATCGTGTGTTTGTTCGTCACCTATATTCTACGATACAATGATATGAGCGTGTTACCGTTCAGATTTGAGGATATAGCTGATAGAAGGAAGTCAGCAAATGAACTCTGCAACGATATTCCAACCTAGAGCGTCAACCTGAGAAGGGTTGTAGGCGTACTGCTGTAAGTCCTACAGTTCTTCAAAGGGTAGCGCATCAATGAGCAGTCCAATGTGCTTGGTGTGTGATTTTGTACATAAGTTCATATTGTATATACTGAATTGATATCATCTGTCATCTAGCTGTTGGTAATTCTGTTTGTGTCCGGACGACTTCCACTTGGATCATCAACCTGAGAAGGAATGTAGGCGTAGGGTAGTTTGTCGTGCCAGAATCCACAACATTTGATGTTCATTCCACAACTTACAATCGTCAACCGGAGAAGGGTTGTAGGCGTACTGCGATTCTTCAAAGGAATTCCATCAAGACATGATCCGCGAGTTTGTGTGTACAGTTTGTATATATGTGTGGTGTGTCATATCAATCGGTGTTTTTTGGATTCATTGTGTTTACTTGTTGTTTTCGTACCTTGTTGTTATTGCATAATTTTGTTAAAATTTTCGTCGTGATTACTTCTGAAGTTGTTTCGAGTCTTCTACATCCATGAATGAATTGATTGATGTTAAAGACAGCAGATGGGGCGTATACGCCGGGGAGGCTAGGCTATTGCTGAGAATGAAATGCACACGGAGATAATTGTTAGCTGTGGTCCCACTTGCCAGGGAGAAAGAGTGTAGACGACTGAGGCTCGCATACGTCACCGTTACTAGAATTGAGGCAGAATGAGTGACAAGCGATTTCAGTGATAATTGGTAGTGGGTAGATACGAGGATGTGCGTAGAGTATCATGAGTTGGTGCTATGGTCACGTTGGTTTATGCAAGAGTCATTCAAGCAAGTGGCGATTGTGTTGCAAGATGTCAAGAGGAGGTCTCTGTCTGGAGGCGCAGGTCGTCATCAATGTGTGAGATTGAGCTGTGTATATGCTTGGTGTATGTTTGCTTTTCTGTTTGTTATCCATTTCAGCTCTGTCCGTGTGACCCAGGTTCTCGCAATGGCATCCAAGTCAACGTGCATTGGTCGTGAAGGAAAAAAGGGTTGGATCCCTTTTTTGCTGGGGAGTGTCAATGGAGTTGAAGATCGAACGATCAATTCTTGGTTGTTTGCTCAAAACCAACTTCCCCAATTTTCGCGGAGGCATCAATACGACATTCATCGTCTCATCGGTCGCTGTTCAGAAAGAAGTCAGCAGTAAACTATCAGAAGTAATCTTGTGATTTATTATTGTAATATTTGTTCACAGAACCTAGTGAAAACATTGTTTTTATATGTTGGTGTTACAATAAAGAATTCTCGAGTGGCCAATCGGTCTTTTGGTTTATTCGTCCGTTATTACTAAGCGTTTCTGAAAAACTGCAAGGAACAGCGTGGGCCCGAGCGTAGCAAGAGCTAGGCATTAACGGTTTGCGAGATGTGACTGACAAATACATTAACTTCATTTCATCAGTTAATATAAAACCACTTAACATGATCTCAAACTCCTTTACAAATTGTAAATAATCAGCCGGGTTTCCATCAAAACACCGTGGTTCAAATTTAGGGAGTTTGATGTTCCTATTATCCCTGGACGGCGAAACAGTAACATCAACCATGTCATACTTAACATCAGACACATCGTTACAAGTAACAGACAAGTCACCATGACTTACTTTCCTGTTTGCATCCAAGACGCTCTGTCCCTTCTTTGACCCAGGCATTGTTGAACTTGACCCAATTCCAAAAACGTTCCAGATATTGCTTGTTCAAAGAGGAGTTGACCGGCACCAGGAAAGATGAACAGTGACTATCCAAACTTTCACCAACTGTCTGAATCCGCCAAAGTCTGTTTCTACCATCAGAAACTGTCAGCTACGTCTCATAAACCGTTAATGCCCAGCTCTTGCTACGCTCGGGCCCACGCTGTTCCTTGCAGTTTTTCAGAAACGCTTAGTAATAACGGACGAATAAACCAAAAGACCGATTGGCCACTCGAGAATTCTTTATTGTAACACCAACATATAAAAACAATGTTTTCACTAGGTTCTGTGAACAAATATTACAATAATGAATCACAGTATTACTTCTGACAGTTTTCTCCTGACTTCTTTCTGAACAGCGACCGATGAGACGATGACTGGTGTATTGATGCCTCCGCGAAAATTGGGGAAGTTGGTTTTGAGCAAACAACCATGAATTGATCTTTGAATCTTCGACTACGTTGACATCATTTCATCATTTAATAAAAAGCCACTCAACATGATATCAAACTCTTTGATAAACTGTGGGTCTCTATCAAAGTACCCAGACTCGAATTTAGGCAACTTTAAACCCCTACTATCCCGAAACGTGAATATTTATCTTATTATTTTTAACATCACACATATCATTACATAAAACAGGCAACTCATCATTACTTGCTTTCCTGTCTGCTTCCAAGATGTTTTGTCCTTTCTTTGACCCAGGCACTATTTAACTTAAACAAACAATCCAGAAAAGTTTCAGATAACACTTGTCCAAAGAAGACGGGTAGATACGAGGAAAGACGAACAGAAACTGTCAATGTTCAGGTCTTACCACACTGGATCTCACGCTGCTTTTGGAAGACTTTCAGAAGCAATGTGTAATAACCAACGCGAAAAACCAGAACACTGATTGGCGACCCGAGAATCCTTTATTCCTACGCCAATATGTAACCAACAATAAGTTTATTATACACAACGTCCAAGAATAAATGCTATAACAATAAATCACGATAATGCTTCTGATAGTTTTCTGTCTTTCACCCAACACCGAACGATGAGACGATGACTGCAGTATTGATGAATCCCGCGAAAAATTAGCGAAGTTCGGTTTGAGCAAACAACCATGAATTGATCGTTCAATCTTCAACTACATTAACAGACGTTTTTGATCTTTATCAATGACCTACCATGCCACTTAAGCCATCAAACTCTTCTATACGCCAACGACGTGAGGATATGGAGAGCAATAAAGTCCTTGGTAGCCTTAGATCGGTTGCAGGTATATCGAAATTTTCTGGAAGTTTGGGTTTTAGCCAACGGCATGGCTTTCAAACTGAAATAGTGTAAAGTAGGCCGCAAAGTGCAAGTTGCACCCTCTGCAACGAAATTTTGTGATGCATAACGTCGGAGCATGTCATACGCCTATTTTCGACTGAAAAAATTAATTACACGGGTGACGTAGCGAAAGCATATGCGGTCACACACTCCTGAGCTTTTTCTAAGGCTGTAAAAAACATACGCAAGACCACATCTTGGAGTTAACAAAATCATTGCACCTCTAATGCCTAGGAGAGATGCTAAGCCTAGGGAAATAATTGAAAGACTGGCGACAAAACGGGTGGTGTTAGATATATCACACAGTGGAACAGTATTATTCACTGGATGACGTTTCGAACAAAATTTATGGTTCATAATCATATCAATTATAATCACACGTCTTCGAAACTTGACTTTTATAGTTTTCTTTGTTCTCTCTCCCAGAAATTTGGAAAATTTTACTACCACTTGGAAGACAAATAGGAGAGAACAAAGAAAACTCATGTTTTGAAGTCGTGTGATTATAATTGATATGATTATGACCATAAATTTGTTCGAAACATCATCCAGTAAATAATACTTTTTCCCTCTGTGAAACATCTAATAAATAAATTATTATGTGGTTGCCATCTTTTAGATTTTTATCCTTTTACGTTCCTAATGGGATATAAGGGCTTGAAGCTTGAGCTTTTTGGAGTCAGCCAGAGCTATGACAGTTGACGGACTACGCAGAAGTTTGCCAAAGACAAGGAAGCTCTAACTAGCAACCAAGAAACTAGCCAGAAGAAATCAGTTTGGTCCATACTTGTTCGTAAAAATGATATTGTATATTGAATTCTGTCTCGGCTTTTCTGGGAACTTAAGGCGCTGTATTGAAAGTTGGCGTTACACGATGAGTGTGGAGAAAGTTGCAATTCTTGATGCAGGTGCTCAATATGGGAAGGTATAGATTTGTAAACAGTGGAAGCTTATTGTTTTCTCAAATAGGTCATCGATCGTCGAGTCCGGGAACTCTCTGTTTTTTCTGATATATTACCAGTCAATACTCCGCTTGAGAAGCTTTTAAAAGCTAATTACAAGTATTACTTTTGTCAGAAATGTCTAGTTTTACAGTGCTTTTATAATTTCGGGGAGTCCTGACTCGGTGTGTCAGCCGATGAGCTCTATGTGTGATCCCAAGTTATTTGACGCTAAAATCCCCGTACTTGGAATATGTTATGGAATGCAGGTTGGTTTCTGAGAAAATTCTGCTAACATTTCAGCTCATGAATAAATTTTTTGGTGGCCAGGTAATCGAAGGTGATACAAGGGAAGATGGTGTTTTCTCTGTGGACTGTGATACTACATCTCCATTATTTAAGTACTTACATTTCAATATTTTAACGTTTGCAGAGGCCTTTCGAAACAGGAGCATGTATTATTCACACATGGGGATCATTGTGTCACAGTTGCTTCAGGCTTTAAAGTTATCGCTAAGTCTGGCTCTATTATAGCTGGTTAGTGAAAAACGTTCTAGTTGATGTATTTTACAGGGATTGCAAACGATGAAAAACGTTTGTATGGAGTTCAGTTCCATCCAGAAGTAGATCTGAGTGCTTGCGGTGCACAGATTTTGAGGAACTTCTTATTCGGTGTTTGTGACCTCAAAGGAGACTTCAAAATGAATGATAGGGTGGAAATTTGCACTGCCAAAATCCGTGAAGCTGTTGGTCAGAACAAGATCTTAGTGAGTTATGCCAAATTAATAACACTCAGTACATGTATGGGTGTCTTCATTCATTTTTCCCTTTGGCTTCTTACTAATACAACGTCTTCCTAATAAATTCTTTCTTTAAGTACATGAATTTTCTGTTCTAACAGGGTATACAGCTTATTAATATGTGTAAAACTTGGGCACTGTGGTAGTAAGTAAATTCATATTAGTTTGTTTTCAGATGTGTCACTGTGATACATCTAAAAAACAAACTAATATGGAAGGGTATGCAGCTATTAACTAAAGCATTTCTTCCTAATGACATTTTCGAGCTGTTTTGTTTTGTTTTTTTAATTGCATAACACTAAAAGTCAACTAGCATGATTGTTAATGGGACAACGCTAAGGTGGATAATATACAGAAAAGGTCATTGCAAAAAAAAGTATTGCAAGGTATTCACACAATTATAGTGAAGTTTACGGTGAAATGTTGGATATTGGCTGTACTGCTTATTTTATTCAGCTTTATGTAACACTACCTTTAATTCCATGTGGCTTGTTCTTAACGAGATTTCTTCACTGGGGAAGAGCGGAATTTTCAGGGACGACCATGTCAATTTCAGATCTTTGAAGCGGTCTTACAATTCAACACCACAATTTACACCGTTAGGTATCTATTATGTTAGTGACAAGTAATCTACTTTATCACAGCGGAACGAAATTCACGCACCCAAGTTTTTTTTTTTTAATAAAGTAGGTAACAAAAGACTCCTTTTACAATAGCCTTGAATTGCAGTTCGATTTCTAACCCTTTTACTTGACTCGCTAACTCCATTTTATGAATTTCCCTGTAAATGTAATTTGCAGATTTTGCTTAGCGGTGGTGTGGACTCAACAGTTTGTGCAGCTTTGCTTTCCAAAACTTTGGATCCTTCACAAATAATTGCTGTTCACATAGATAATGGTTTCCTGAGAAAAGGTGAATCAGCAGAGGTCATAGAATCAGTGGAATCATTAGGAATCAAAGGTAATCTTGCTCAGTTTCTTCACTTCTACATGTTTAGTTCATTTAATTAATGCAGGTCTTCGATTTTTATCTGGAACTACCATGATTCATGTGGAGGTGATGACAGAAGCTTTAGCCCCAGCCTCAGTTAGTCCAACCAAGACACAAACTGATTCTGGTAGTTTTGAAAGTCATAGTTTCTAATTAAAAAATTGTTTTAGTAGTGAGCACAGGAATGTCAGAAGAGGCTTCAGATCCAAGTGCTAAGGAGTATCGATCAACGTTAGATTGTCCAGCACATGGTTCGCCAGGTGGTGCTTCTGGTGCTAAAAGACAATCGCATCTCAGCGGTGGTGGCATGCATCCTCATAAGGAACTGCGAAACATTCCTATTGGACCCCTTAGAACAGCCACTATATTTCCAGAAGACAAGCGACAAATTATTGGAGATACTTTTATTCGTGTTGCGCAAGAGGTTTGGTCTGAACTTCAACTGGATCCTAGCAGTTTGATACTTTGCCAAGGTATGTGTTATATTAATCTCCTTAATCATTCAATAAATTCTTTGCTGATGTATGTAAAATGTCGCCACATATATGGCCTACACAACTAAAGGTCTGTTTCTTCAATCGGGTGCTTTTCATAGGAGTATTTAGTTTACACCGAATATCCAGAGTGAAGTGCTTTTCTTGCGGAGATAATAAGGTGACCCAACAATCAGATGGGGTCTCATTTAAACAGTTATAACTTTTACGTGTTATTTGAAAAGTAGTTGAACCAGCTAGCTGTGTAAACCTCAGTAGATAAGGTAAGATAACTTTTGATTTCAGGATATATGGTTAGATGGTTAACACCTGGAGTCAATGGGCATTTATGTGTAAAACTCCCACCTTAAACTAATGATTCATAAAAATTGTAAAATTATTTTGGGACGCAGCACCTCGGTTCTCACGTTCTCTGCAAGAGAAGCTCTTAATACTGGTCCATTGCTGTCGACAACACTTATGAACAAAATACTCTTGGGTTGATCTTAGACATCGAATTTTCGGGAATACTTACATACTTCATTGGTTTCGGTAACTATTTCTTGTCCCTTTTACATAATCCCATTGTATTTAACTGTACAAAACTTACTAAAGCAGATATCCTGACATGGTCACAGCGGTGAATAGTTGAAAATTTCCCCAGTTCATATATCAAGGTGCTTATCTCCAAAGCTGAAAGAACCCGACTTCTTTGCAAGGAATTATAAAGAGTGAAGTGAAGTATTCCGTCTCGGCTGTAGTACTCTGACTACTATCTTTTGCTGTAAAGAAAAGCAAGCAATAAGTCTGTAGACTACAAAGTGAAGGTTGTCAGGTTAAAAGCTTTGTTTAATTACAGTTAGCATAAGTCTAGTTAATCTAATTTCATTATTGTAATGATACTTGGAAACTGTATGCATGTTTGCACACCATACCTTTAACTTTTTTATGAGATATGGTAATACTAGATGAATGGCTAGTACATAATCGTATCACTTCAAGTTGCCACACTTCACATTACATCTTGTCAATTTGTTTGCCTTATTGATCCAATAATTTACAACTCCACTTAACGCGAACTGTAAGAAGAAGACATGTGGTCGAAAATCCCGATTTTTTCACGTTTACTTGAATAGGTTGTAAAATGGAGCCAAGCGAACTACTCCATATTACATAGTTCTTATGATGGACAGCCGCATATGTCGCTTTTCCCATAGAGGAGAGTCAGTTGAAAAATGCCGAGAGAATCACTTTTATCTCTGTTTATGTTTCTTCAGTAAGTAGTCTGTTAAGGCTGGTGTAAATTTCCAAATAACTGAACTGATGAGTATATTCGATACATATTAGGATTTTGTGCGAATGTGTCCTTCTGTGCAGCATCGTCTTATGCTAGCAAAATTCGAAGCAGTTACGTTTCCGCTCATTGTAGTACCTTTTACCTTTTTTGCCACATTTTGATGTTGTACGAATTGTGACAACGTGAACTGCTGCACATTTGTGCACAGTTCTACTTGAAAGACCCGGGAAGTCTTAACATAGTGAGAGTTTCGCTCAGGATGTTCAAACGATAGTATGTTATGCCATCGACCTCACCTAAAAAACGACTTCTAAGGCAACCGTCTATTTCCCGTGCATGGGGTAAATTGCTTTTAAGTCTGAGTCAAACAGCTATCTGTCATTGCATCTACAATAGAATCCATGAAATCCTTGACAGTTAAACTGAGTCAGGTAGGGAGGGAGATGCAGACTTCCGGGTTGGGGCCCTCGGGACTGACTCTAGGAATCAATGGCTGGAGACAATAGGTGACATGGCTCGAAATCGTTGTCAGTGGCGCAGTTGTATTCAGTCTCTGTAATCTTTCATATTCCTTTCTACCATTACCCATTCTGTTTCACTCTTATACTTGTCAGACTCTATTAATTCTCTTCACTCATCTTCTTGTCTACCTCTGTGTGGTATTTGGAACGTGGCAACTCGAACTGGTGCACTTCGGTGCCAAGTTCTATGTTGAATCCAGACAGACAGACAGATCGTGTGAAGAGGAGTTGAAAGAATATGGATTAACATGGATGCAGGCGAAAAGTATAGCAGGAGACAGAAGAAAATGGAGACGTGCAGTTGAAGCCCTATGTTCCACTAGAAACCCAAGGGAGCAATAATAATAATAATAATTACAAATTCGAGAAGAGGTCATTTGTTACCATACTACGCTTCCTCAGTATTCTTACATAATATTACTTTATTGGTTGGTTGAAGACATTTGATAAGTGTTAGATGTTGTTAGGTTTGTGCACGAGGAATTATAATAGATTAAAGAAATATTCATTATATCTCTGTCCTAGTGTTCAGTCTGTCTTGCCTGAACTCTATTTATCCACTGAATGGCCTTTAAACCTAAGATCTGAAACACTAGTAATCAATGTAATTCCTGTCATTTTAACGGACAAGTTCGTTCATTTTCTCACAAATCGATAATGCGCTACTTGACTATAAATAGTGTGATAACGGATGTCCTCTAAGCGCTGTTAGCAGGAACATTAGAAAACAAATTACTGCCCCACCAAATCACACCACAACACAGGAATAATCAATGATTGCCATCTTGGTGATATTAATTTGTGTCAGAATTATTTGTGTCTACTTATCAGATTTTTATATGATACTGCTGTACTTTCATTGTTCGCTTGATGTAAACATGGTTATGGTACAAATGTATTTTACTAGGAACATTACGGCCAGATCTCATCGAGTCTGCATCTCATTTGGTCAGTCAGCGAGCAGATGTCATTAAGACTCATCATAATACAACTACTCTGGTCCAACTGTTACAAAAACAGGTAAGCAATTTTAACATTCTTAGTTCTGTGAGTCAATTCGAAATAAAGCTTCCTGTTACATGAAATTAGAATAAATGATGCTTTTTAGCAGCAGTATTCCGATACTCTACCGTCCTTGACAAGCATTGCTAGCTGACATAGGATTAGGTTGGAAAATAGCTAGCGATGGACAATCCAAAACACAGAATCAATCCATGAAGTCTTTGACAATTAATTTGAGCCAGCCACGAGGGAGGTGCAGACTACCTGGTTGGAGTCTTCAGGATTGTAAGAACCAATAACTGGAGACAACTGTTGGTGATATGTCTTGAAGTTGCTCTCAATAGTGCAGATAAATTCTTGTATGCCTTACACTGTGTTGTTTTTTTCCATGCTACCATTCTTTCATCGTCACATGTATGCTTGCTGATCTTCATTCGAAAATCTGTCATTTGTCTTTCTCTGTGACCTGAATAGGGTGTGTCAACTAGAACTGGTGCACTTCTGTGCAAAGTTCTGTTTCAGCCTGTCAGTCAGACTCTGTGTTTTACAGGTTTCCTTTCTTATTTGTGATGCTTAATGACTGTCAAACGAAATCTCATGCTAAGCTTGATTTTGTGTGTGTGTGTGGGGGGAGGGAGGGAGGTGCCAGTGGATTTTTCTATGCCAGATTGACACACTTCCCCATGCTCTTTTACTTGTGTACCTGATTAGTCAGCCACCTTGTAGTTTTTAATCTATCAATAACTTTATGCTAGGCATTTTATTTCTATGTGCAACAGTTCTGAGTTAATTAGTGTATGCCAGTAAGGTGAATGCCAGCTAGTTCACAAGCATTCTTTGTTATTTCATTCCATTGTTAGCAATAGCCAACTTAAGCACCGCATATCAATAACTTACCTATGCTCAGTACGTGTTTCACAATCATTGAAATAAGAATATAACTTGTGTGCTGTCGTAGGGCATAATTTCATTGTGGATGAATTTTATTTTGATAAAGTCTCACAGTGTTATATAATAATATTTACTGATGACCACATCTCGAGCACAACTGAAAGCTGTTCATAATCATATCAAGTTACTCACACAACTTTCCAGCTTCATGTATGTGATTCCACTATTTCTCGTCTCTTGATTTGATTGGTAGCAGTGTTTTCCATATTTCTGGTATGAGTGATGAGTCATTCCTATTGCACGTGTTGGGTGTGGACTCAATGAGCTAGGATTTAGTAATCAACCTCTATCTCCACTTATCTAGATTACTTTTTAGATTTTTAACCCTCTCTCACCCTATTGTGTGGTTGTGTGTTAATGCATGCATTGCAATTGCTGAGCTTCTTTCTAAATTACTTATCTTCTCGGGGTCAACCATTCTAACCTTGGCTAAATTCTTATTTTCTGATAATCTCACTACTCCTGGTCTCCTAGTTTGACCTATGTGGTTGACTTAACTCACAGTCATTGCAAGGTATTTTGTAAATTACATTATTTTGTTTTGCTTGGGTCTACTGGATACTTTAGCCTACAGAGCTTGTCCCTGCTTGAATGAGTTTGTAGGTTTAAATGCCACTCTAATTTCTGCTTTATTAAGAATCGCATGTAGAGTCTCAGATATCTCTTCCTTAAAACTGTAGATGCTTTACATTCTTTCTTTTTTTATGTTATCACTATTAGTCTCCCAATTAATTTTTATTTTGCTTTTGACGTTATCTGATCTTCCCAATAAATTTTAGAGGATAGTTAGTTATTTAACACCAACGCTTCTACTGTTTCTTCTTCTGTTTCATTTCATTACTTTAGTGTTTTGCTGTACTACTTAGTGCTATAGTGGAATTATATATACATGAAGTTGGGGAGTTGTGTAAGTGCCTTGATATGCTTATGAGCAACAATCAATTGTGCTCAAGACGTGATCATCAGTAAATATTATTGTATAATACTGTGAGACCTTATCAAAATAAATTCTACCCTCAATGGAAGTGTTTCTCAACCACATTTTCGGTCTATCTGTTGTTCTTTTCTCTACAAATCTTTAGCTCATTGATTTATTTTCTAGACATATCCACATTATCTGAACAATTATTCTGAAGTGTGTGACACTTGCCTTACAGAAAGTGTGTGTGTGCTGGGTGCTTAGACTTATTGATACATTGTAATTTGTTGGTAAGTATTTCAGAGGAGAATGACCGCTTTTGTGTAATCACACTAAACTGTTGCAGTTTTCTTCATCCTCGAAATATTACTATAAATGTGTTCTTGTGAATCAACCCAAGGGGGTTAGCAGAACGTTAATTGATACACTCACTCAACCACTTATCGGCTTTGCACTTATCTCTAGGCTATAAATGATTTTAGAGTTACACAGACTGGTCAGAATCGTTCAAACTTCCCCCGTTTACTCAGTTATACACTTGGCTTTTTTTAAAACTAATTATTCCCTAGACAGGGTGACCACTGGTTAGCATTATGTGCTATGAGACATCTGTTGTTGTGATTTGTGTGTTACGCTATTGAGGATACTAGGTCACTAGACTCAAATATTTTTGTTTGTCTATGTTTTTTTTCATCTCACCATTTTGAGTGTATCACGTAATGACACCATGTCTGCATATATATATATATATAATTTTCATAATTACATAAAATGGAAGATCATTATCTTTGTTGTAGGGTCGAGTTGTTGAACCGTTATCAGATTTTCATAAAGATGAAGTTAGACAAATTGGTAGACAATTAGGACTACCAGAAAATATTGTCAACAGACATCCATTTCCTGGTCCAGGCTTAGCAGTCAGAATTTTATGTGCCGCTGAACCATACATTGAACGGGATTTTTCAGAAACAACAAGCCTGATAAAAATGATTGCAGGATATCATCAAATGTCACAAAAGGTTAGTTAGACTATTAAGTTGTGTTTATTTTGTTTCCTATTTTTTAATACTTCTTTTATAACTTGTTGTTATAATCCTCTGTTTTTGAAACAACAGTTTATCGAGTTTTAACGTCTACACCGTTGAGCTATCGTGTTCAGCTCTTCACTTTTTATGGATTAAGATATCATAGGATAAATCAAAATAACTAGTATTTAATTGGTTGGTGGTGACTAGCAGTGGAATCCAGCTTGATGCGCATTTCGTCCTATTTGGGACTCGTCATCTGGATGTATCTGCATTTCTCAGTGAGTGATGATGTTCCCACTGAGGCTCGAACCCATTGCCCATAGTTTCAAACACCAAAGCGTTATCCACTTAACCACTTGGGCCAAGAGAGCCATCCATCACCATCCACCAATTAAATACTAATTAAATGCCCAAACATCAACGAGGCATCTGCAAAAGAAGCGGACATGTCAGCCTGAGACCGAGCACTTCGGTTCAATCAATCGACGCGAAAATCTCAAATTCAATTGAAATTAAACTGAAATAACGTCTGGATTTGTTTCGTAGCTTGCTTTCGGAATTGTAGTTTAAGAAAACCTGTTGACGTTGATGATACTTTTCATGGTGATGAACCGGAGTAGGTTGGAGGCAGCAGAATTTCGATAACGGATAGATGAATATGGTGACTGAAATTTCTTAAATACACTCTATACCTCCCCCGCCACTAGGTGTACTCGAAGAATTTGGTGATTGTGTTCCTGTCAACATTGATGTTTATCTGGTAACCGTGAGGGAAGCTAGTCTCGTTCGATTTCACCCTCTGGTTGTCTCTATTATATCAAGTTTGTGTGCTAAGCTTATCATTTAGTGAATGGGTTGTGTTTTTTAAAAACACCCTTAACAGCGATATGACTGTGTAAGGTATGGAACGAGATTGGTTCTGCATTCCCTTTTTAATAATAATAATAATAATTTGCTTTATTCCAAAACAGTACTTGTGATACAGAATGGAATTCTCAGCATTTCACTACAGTATTACATCCAGTTTGTACATTAACAATGAATACATAGATTATGGTTAGTTTCAGTTTTGACAACAACATATTAGCATATCGGTAGCAAAGCCAAAATTAAGCAGAATGTTTGAAGGTGTTAGAAAAGTAGTTGCTAGCATATTTACTGGCGTAAGCGGTAACAAAAACGTCGAGACATACAGAGTGTGAAAGAACGAAGAATGTTTTAAGTAGAGTATGTAAGGAAGAGAGAAACAAAACAGCACATAACAAAAAAAATGCAAAAAACAAAGAAACAGGAAGCAATGAAAAAAGAGAAAAGGAAAAGAAAGAAAGAAAGAAGACTTTGTACCTATAAATGATATGAGTTGGAAAGACGAGATCCAATTGTTTTACTGACTATTTAATAAGATAAAAGTTTCACGCCTAATGCTTTCTTTATCGTACAGAACACGAGCCAAGTAGGATATGGTTGAGTTTTTACTTGCTAGTGCGAGTATATAGTTTTCTATATAACCTTCTGGTTTTACCTGATGAGATACGAGGGGAGAGTTGTGAATGAAGAGGGTGGTGTGAGTTAGATAAAATGGATTGAGCCAATTTTTCACATGAGTCCAAGTGCCTGTCGACCAGAATATTAACAAGCTGGTTAAGTGGCACATTGCTTACCCTGGTGACAACCTTTAGCACCCTACGTAATAAGATATAATCCTTCTTCAGTAGCCCTGGAAAAACTAAGGGGGGGGACAATAGAGAATAATAGACAGAATGCATGAGTTAACGAATCGTAAGAGTAAGGGTTGGGTTAGTTTATTCCAGAATGTCTTAACTTCTTGATGTAGAAGGTAAGACGGAATATTTTCTTAGAAATCATCAAGATATGAGACGACCAGGAAAGATCAGCAGATAGAATGACACCTAGGTATTTAATTTCCGACTTGGTTTCTATTTCAGTGTCATCCATCTACATTGCACACCTCATGACTGCTAACCAGTTTGTTTAGGTCAGATATATGCCTAAAGGTGAAATTGACTGTTTGGCATTTGGAGGTGTTTAAGGTTAGACCGTTTTCCTTGGACCATTGGTTGATTTCTGCTAAAAAGCCATTTAGTTTGGAGCAGTCACTTTGACATTTGACAGGCAAAGATGAAGTCATATCGTCAGCATATTTAACAAAATTAATGTCATTTGAAGATGGTAGGTCATGTAGGAAGAGTGAAAAGAGAAGTGGGGAGAGTACGGCATCTTGGGGGATACCGGCTTCAGTGAGCACAGCAGAGGAGGATTTACCTTTGTATGCGGTGTACTGTATTCTGTTTGAGAAATAGGAATGCAACCAGTTTGTGACCCAGGACTCAGTTTGTGTCATAGAGACATCTAGGTACAGAGTCAAAAGCAGAAGTGAAGTCGAGAAACGTGCAAGGAACCTATTTGGCACCTTTACCTAATGGTGAGACAATACTGTTGTGTGAGATGGCTGCAGCGTCTAAAGGGTTCCTACCCTGTCTATAGGCAAATTGTTTGGGGTCTTAAAAACTTTTAGGGGAGGTTTCAAGTTTAAGAAATACTGGTTTTTCCATGAGCTTTAGAAACAGGGAAGTAATGGCAATAGGTCTGAACTTTACGTTCTCGCTATTTCCAGGTTTAGGGACAGGGACTATTTTAATGTCTTTCCGTGGAACAGGTACAACGTTTTTGTAGAAAGAAGCATTTAGGATGTTAGTTAGTGGAGAACATATAGCATCTGCACATTGTTTTAGAACATTTGCAGGTACATCATCAGGGCCAAGGCTACTTGAGGACTTTTAAGACATTTTGGAACATCGAGATTATTAAAGTCATGAAAGTTATCAGCTACATGATTAGTAACGTTAGAAGTGGTTATAGTAGAAGGGGAGCGTATAAAAGACTGATTAAGAGCATTAACATCACAAGAGGGAAAAACATTACATCGCTTACTATTGCCAGTAATTTCTTTGAAAAGTTTCCACTTACTGATAGGAGATTTGCATGATAAAAGTGTATGGTTATAAATAGCATTAAGATTTTGATTTCAGATTTGATTTGGGCATTAATCCTTTTAAGTCCTAACTCCAGAGGTATTTAAGTACAGTGGAGACAGTTTACTATCTGCATTAACTGAGGTTCTAAGCAGCGTCTGGGAATCAGAAGAAGTCCCATCGGTTTGGTGTATGTCACTGATTATCCCCATATACAAGAAGGGAGACAAGTCTTCCTGTGATAATCACGGAGGGATTAGCTTGACTAATATAGTATCTAAAGCCCTAGATATGATAGAGAAGATTTGTAGCTCAGGTGGATAATTTTGATGTGGTTTTGTTCTCTGAGCTGGATGGTTAGTTTGCGAAGCTTTCATCGCCCTACTGGGTGACATCTTCAGCGCATACTTCAATTTGAAGTGAGCTTTTAGGTTTCTCCACGAGTTTATTAATCATTCCTCCTGGTGACCTTGGACGTGATTGGTTGTTTATGTGTGTTTTCACACCTTCTAGGTTACTTGTGTTGGAACTGATTGTTTCTGTGACTTGAACTTTGACCCTTTGTGTCTGAAGTTTCTTTCTTATTGGTTGATAAATTTTGTCTATCTCGATGTGTCTATTGATTGATGATTCACTGGAATGCCAAGCTTCCAAAAATTCTCTAGCATTCTTGTTATTTCCTTTGTCTAATATTTGAACGTTGTCCCAGTCGAATTGATGTCCGTGGTTGTCTGTGTGTAGTGAAATGAGGGAGTGTATATCATGTCTTTTGACGGCTAGCTTATGTTCGTGGATACGAAGACGAAGGGGACGTCCACTTTGGCCAATGTAGTGTTTTTCGCAGTTGTTACAGTTTATTTTGTAGATGATGTTGGTTTTGTCTTCTTTCGCTGTTGAGTCTTTTGGTTGACATAGAATTGAGTGCAGCGACTTTGTTGGTTTGTGTACGACGTCAATTCCTAAAGGTTTGAAGAGTCTTGTAGTGATTTCTGAGATATCCTTTATATATGGTAAGGCGATTTTCTTTGTGTTTTCCTTGGTGGCTTTTGTTTTGGTAGGTTGGCTTGGGGGTATATGTCTCTTGATGAAATTCCGTGGATATCCATTCTTTTGGAAGACGTCCATGAGATACTTTTCTTCAATTTTTCTTAAGGTGGGAGTGCTGCAGTGAGTCCTTGCTCTCTTGAATAGTGTTTGTATGCAGTTCCTTTTGTGTGCTATTGGGTTGTTGCTGTTGTAATTCAGTATTTGGTCTGTGTGAGTTGATTTCCTATAAACTTGAGTTTCTAATTCTCCTGTAGTTGTTCGCCTGACTAAGACGTCCAAAAATGGTATTTTGTTCTCGGATTCCTCTTCTCTTGTGAATTTGATGTCGTTGAAGACGTTGTTTATTAAGTTGTGAGTTTTGTCTAATTCGTTTCTTTTGATTATTACAAATGTGTCGTCGACGTAGCGTATCCAAATCTTGGGTTTGATCTTTGGTAGAATTATGTTTTCGAGTCTTTGCATCACTGCTTCTGCAATCAAACCTGATATTGGTGATCCCATGGGTGTTCCTTTGACTTGTTCAAGTCAGTGCAATTGAAGAAAAGTATCTCATGGACGTCTTCCAAAAGAATGGATATCCACGGAATTTCATCAAGAGACATATACCCCCAAGCCAACCTACCAAAACAAAAGCCACCAAGGAAAACACAAAGAAAATCGCCTTACCATATATAAAGGATATCTCAGAAATCACTACAAGACTCTTCAAACCTTTAGGAATTGACGTCGTACACAAACCAACAAAGTCACTGCACTCAATTCTATGTCAACCAAAAGACTCAACAGCGAAAGAAGACAAAACCAACATCATCTACAAAATAAACTGTAACAACTGCGAAAAACACTACATTGGCCAAAGTGGACGTCCCCTTCGTCTTCGTATCCACGAACATAAGCTAGCCGTCAAAAGACATGATACTCCGTCCTTATCTATGGCTGTGAAACATGGCCAATACGAGT